GCCAGTGACCATCCCTCTGTCCTCAGCACTAGAGAGGCTGCACCTCAAATCCTGGGCTCAGTACTGATGAAACAGTATGCTATTTCTGGAAGTTCATGATGAAACAAAAGCAACCTGCATCCCACCTACAGCACATCTCCAATCCCATTGTGTCTGGCAGTACACATTCTCTGGACATAACTTTCTTTTTGTGCAAGCAGCAATGAACCACTGAATAAGCAAAACTTTTGCCATTTTTCAGCACTACAGGTAGTGAAAAATGGCTAAGACTGAAAAGGCCTGTATTGCCTCCCAAACAGCACATAAAGCCATCATTCAAGTCACTATCTTTGAGATAAAGTCTGACTCTTCATGCCACAGCTCAGTGAAAGTCAGAGGCAAGCAGGGCAAGACCACAGTGCCAATATGCCGTATCTCATGCAGACTTCTTTAAAGTAAACACACAGAAGCCTCTTTTTGAGTTCAGCAGATACATAATGGTCATTTTGAAGGCAGAGGTGCTGTCAAATGGGAAGTCAATTAAAATACTCTTTTTAATGAACTGGTTCAACGCATTTCATCAAGCAGCTCTGTGTGTACATGTATGTATTTACAGGAATCCTACATTTCACTGAAGTAAAACGTATGAACTGCAGTTTTTTCTGGACAAGACCATTTATTTTAACAAACAGATGAGTCTTTATGATGAACTGGAGGCTGCCACAGCTGCTCTCTTGGGCTTTGGTGTGGTTCCCTCACGGAATCCATTCCTACAAGAAGAAATATGGTTACTGCTTTTTACCGATCAAGTTCACCAGCTTTTTTCAGAGTTATCTCAGTAATTCACTGAAATCACCATGGAGTTCCTAAGTTCAGACGTTTGTAAGAAGAAACATCTTATTAACAACTGTTTGGAATAGGTAAAGTTTTGCTCTCTTCTGCTGAAGGAAGTCTGACTTCTTCAGACAGCAAGATGTGAGTAATGAAGAGTGCAAGATAAAGCTGCATCAGATGTAGCACAGCTGCTGGGGGCACGCCTTACTTTATGTTCCTGCTAACCAACCCAGCAAAAGCTTTTGTTTGTGAAGCATAAGTCGATTTCTTACAGAAATCCTCTATGCCTCCAACCACAGGTTAAAACAGGCATGAGAAGAATCAGCCCCAACCTTGCTTCTGGGACATTTCTACTACAGCAACACCCAGTGGAAAGCAGGCCACAGCCGCACACTGTAAGGAATTTCTGTCTGCTGCTGGGAAGGCCTGCACTCACCGGAACACAGAACGGTCAGGGTTGGAAGGGACCTCTGAAGATCATCTAGTCCAACCCCCCTGTGCTAGACGATCTCTCAACCACACACGGGTCTGGGACTTAAAAAGACCCTTACTTTTCAGTATTAAATGCAATACATCTTTTTATGACAAGGCTCTCGAAGTACTTGATGTTTTTCATACAGCTTTCTTATGTATTAGGCCAAAAGCTACAGCACTTAATTTCAGAACATGGAGGCATTCTTCATGAGTTTAACAGTACAATATCCCCACCATCACCTTGTAAGTACAACTCAAAGCTTTGTAACAAGTTTTAGCAATCTGTAACTCAGAATCTCATGACTACTTACTGTTAACTGACCTCTAAACAGGAATGACCACTAAAGTTATTCCAGTCCTTAACTTTTAGGTTGTGGGCAAAAGGGGACTGGTTTGCATTTCAAGACTTATCCCTTACAAAACCCTACACTTCAGTGTGACAGGCCAGTTAACTGTCTCACAAAAAGAGGCGAGGCTACTCAAGGCATTTATTCTTAAACATGAGCACTTTATATCAATTACCTCTGTGTTCCGTACAATCTACATTTAACAGAAACATCAGAGCTTGTTACACACCCTATGTATTAGCAGTGATTGTTTTTATCCTCGAAGGAATATGCAGCCAATTAGATACAGCGTCATTTATTTCATATTTAGGAAGAAAGAGCATACCATGTTAAATGCACCAAATAAATACAAATGTTAACTTTGCATGATGCATTTCATAATTAACTGATATGTATGCAGCACACCACACTGGTTTGGAGTAAACTATCATACCTGAATCGACGGTAGACCTTTTTCAGGTGCCTCATGCGACCAGTACCAGTGGTGTTGCGTCTTTTAGCCTTTGCACTCCAGTTATCTAAAATATACAAGTTACTGTTACTCATCTGCACCAAATAATTAAGTTGCACATTACATTTGTATAGCATAACTATTCGATTTGACATAACCAAAACCTTTTATACATTAAGTCTCTTTCTATGCAGTAATACTGAACGTTAGCTAAAGTACAGCTATATCAGCATCAGTTTGAAAAAAGCTCCAAACACTGGACGATGACACAGTACTCCTCATTGGCTGGGAAAAAGTCATACTGAAAAAGACAAAGAAACACAGGTTTATATACTCAGGCTAGTTAAAAGTTTGTTACTTACACTTTCTCTTACGCTTAGCAGGGTAACCACATTTCCCACAGGTAGATTTCTGCAGATGGTATGCCTTGGACCCACATCGACGACACAAAGTGTGTGTCTTATTTCGCCGCTTACCAAATGAAGATGTACCCTTCGTCTGAAAAGCATTTCGAGAGATGGCACATTAAGCATATCACTAGCACGTCATTTAACTACAAAAAAAATAAGCTCCTCTAAAAGACACGTACAAAGTCAGAGTCCAATAAACGCCTCAGAGGCACGCTGAACTCTGAAACACCAACTCAGTTTCGCCTCCATTTTTAGAAACCATTTCCTTAGCGC